ACGAAGCCATCGCGGCTGCCAAGAAGTCCGACGTCGCAGTCGTCGTCGTGGGTACCTGGTCTCGCGACCAGACCGAGCTGTGGTCCGGTTACAACGCGACGTAAGTTCGGCCGTTGCCCATCCATCACAAATGACCCCAGCCACTAACCGATCCAACAGCACCGGTGAGCACATCGACCTCGACAATCTCGACCTTGTCGGCGCCCAAGGCCCGCTCGTCAAGGCCATTCTCGACACCGGCGTGCCCACGATCGTTGTTCTCTCCAGCGGCAAGCCCATCACCGATGTGACCTGGATCGCCAACTCGACCTCGGCGCTCGTCCAACAGTTCTACCCCTCCGAGCAGGGCGGCAACGCGCTGGCCGACGTGCTCTTCGGCGACTACAACCCCTCCGGCAAGCTGTCCGTCAGCTTCCCGCGCTTCGTCGGCGACCTGCCCATCTACTACGACTTCCTCAACTCGGCGCGCAACATCGGCCCCGCGGGCCACGCCTACCCCAACGGCACGCTGGACTTCGAGTCCCAGTACGTCCTGGGCGACCCCACCGCCATCTACGAGTTCGGGTACGGCAAGAGCTACGTCGATTTCGAGTACGGCACGGTCACGCTGAGCAAGACCAACGTCACCGCGGCGGACACGGTGACAGTCAGCGTGGACGTGACCAACACCGACGCCGCCCGCGACGGCACCGAGGTCGTGCAGGTGTACGTCTCAGACGTGATCGCGTCGGTGGTGGTGCCGAACCGCGCGCTGAAGGGCTTCGAGAAGGTGCTCATCCCCGCGGGCAAGACCACGACGGTGGAGATCGATCTGAAGGTCGAGGATCTGGGCCTGTGGAACCGCTCGATGCAGTACGTCGTCGAGCCGGGGGCGTTCACGGTGTTGGTCGGGAGCAGCTCGTCGGATATCCGGGGGAATGCGACGTTCTATGTTGAGTAGGGGGGTTGGACGTGTGGTTTGGGATGCTGTAGCTGCATCTACTGATGCACTTCATATTATGCAAGCTCTGATCAGTGAAATTCATTTGAATATATGTATCAAATAGAGCTATCTTCATGAGCATGGAGGGACAAAGTCTAGTCTCCAGACATCCAGTCGCTCCAAACTTCCACCTCACAAGATCGGAATCAGGTGCATTAGCCACTGTCCAACGCAGGCCTGCTTATCCTGAGATTCCTGTCATGTTGACTCAATTCTCTTCATTGGTGGGCCATTGCACCCCCGAGTCGTAGACCTTCTTTCCTCTGAGCCCGCCTCGGGACCCCGGAATCGACTCGACTGCACAGCACCACTGTCCCGCAATAACCTGGTGTCGGACTTGGACGAAGCCAATTTAGTACTAAGCATAATCCGATCCGGTAGACCGTTTCCCCAGTCAACCGATACAGTAGACTCTCTGAAGCCTGTCACAAATCTCTGACTCTCTTTGTATCTTCAGTTCGAGGCAGGTGCTCAAAAAGGGCGGGCCTTTCGCACTCAAGGCCCATAAACTCGGAAAGTCGCTTTTCGATTCAGTACAGATGAAAGAATGGCCCGATGGCGGGGTACTGCCTGTATTGGAATTAGCACGGTATCCAGCCAAGATGAACTGGGGTGCTGGCTAAGCGTACCTCTCGGGCTTCACGGCCATGTTGGCCCGCGGGTCTATCTGTCTGGACCGGGTGTAGGGGAAGTGGAAAGGGAGACAGATGCCGGCTGTCAATGAGGTGCGGATGACCAGTTTGGAGAGCATTGAGGGCGTTACTGCTGCTAGTCGACCATTGAGGCTTATGGGTGTGTTCTTTCTTTCTGGGGGGAAGAATTGTGTCTACCTATTTTCCTGGGTGGGGTTAGATCTGTATATATGTATCTTCTGACGAGGTATCCCCACTGGCACAGTATTACGGAGTACTCTCAGTCTGCCTCGGCTCGGCCCCACCTCCACTGCCCCGATTGGACCCGAGGGGGGTTCTGCCTCGGGCCCAGTCAGCGAGCGAGGAATTGCAGTGACAGTTTATCCTGTTTACCCTGGGGCAAATCGACGATCCCCCAGACTGCTCGGTGCATACCCCGCATTCTGGATTCATGCATTGCAGCACTGGGGATACTCCCTACACTACACGTCAACTGCAATATCCAACGACTCTACCAAATCATGCCATACTCTGCATTGTCTCTTCCCCCGTCTCCAGTATATCATCTGCTGCCATCATGGATAAACCTCCCCCGTCCAAGCGGCCTCGACTGTCCATGGCCTGCAACATCTGTCGACAGCGCAAGGTCAAGTGTGATGCCGAATACCCCAAATGTCGCAACTGTCGCGTCCGGAATCAGGTCTGCGTGACGACCGATCCGCAGCGTCCGGGGGTGACGGGCTTCAGAGAGTGGTTGGATCTACCCCTGATGAGCAATGGGGGCAATGCGAACGAGAAAGACCACCTGCAACAACACCAGCACCAGCAGGAAGACCCGATGCGTCGAAGCAGTGCTGCGCATCCACCTGAAGCCACTCCCTTGTCGCATAAAGAAGACAGTTTCCTAGCCACGGGGCAGCAACCAGCTGCAGCTGTAAACGAGGTGTCCCCGGTGCACCACCCGTTCGACACTGTCAGCGTTGAGGATGGGTGTGACCGCACCAAAGTGCTCGGGGCAAGTAGCTCGCAATGTCTCGCCAAGTCTCTGGACGTATACTTCACGGCGGCGCGGCTGAAGCCCGTCACCGGGTTCTTTCGCCACGGCATGCGGTTCGCCGAGGAGCTGGAGCTGCCACTGTGTGTGTCGCTGCCAGAACTTCCAAGTCCAGAGAATCGACAACGGTACATGACGGCCTTCCTCTCGCGCATCCACCCGCTGTACCCGATCTTCCATGTGGAGCGGCTGGAAGCGGGCGTCGAGCAACTGGCCACGTTAGCGGACTTTCGACATCTGCCGCATGAACGCATCCCTCGACTTGTGACCGCGTATCTGATCATGAGCATGGGAGCGGATGAGATCGCGCAGGGACAGACGGAGGATGGGGATCGATACCTGCTCGCGGCGGCGGGACTGCTCGCGCACGTTATCACGATCCCCTATCTGCCCGCGGTGCAGACGCTTCTGCTGTTCACGGTCACCTACCGCGGCCGCAATAAAGAGGGGCTGGCGTGGCAGACGCTGGGCATGGCGATCCGCGTGGCGTATACCCTGGGCTTGCATCGGCTCAGCGGGCTGGCGGCCCGACGGCAGTACATCCACCGGCGGGTGTGGCTGATCTGCTGGTCGCTCGAGAAGATGATGCATCTGGAGTCCGGGCGGCCGATGGCCATTACCGTCGAGGCGTGCCAGCCCGCCGAGGAGGACTTCCGCCCCGAGGACCGGTTCCTGCGGTGGCACGTCCAGCTCGCCGACTCCCAGGGCAACATCAGCCATCACATCTACAACCACCACCCGGGCACGACGCGCACGGCCCGGCAGATCCTGTTGGACACGGCGCGCCTCGACCAGGAGCTGCTGTCGTGGGCGAACCAGATCCCGTCCGATCTGCGGCCGGGCAATGATATCTTCTGTCCCCGCGAGGAGTTCCACCACGTCACCTTCTTAGCCATTCAGTACCACGAGGCAATGATCTCGTTGCATCGCGCCGCGCTGATCGCCCCGACGACGACCTTCGATGAGGAGGTCACGCGGTATTGCTCCGATGAGCCGTCGCAGCATCGTCTGCGCAACGGGGAGTCGATCTGTGTCAACAGCGCGCGGGCGATCGCCAAGTTGAGCATCGAGCTGTCGGAACGCGAGGCGGACTCGCAGATCATCACGGCGGGGCCGTCGATTCTGGCCTGCATTGTCTTGGGGATCTTCCTGATGAAACATCCCGGGTCCAAGCTGCGGGCGATGGACCTCCAGGTAATTCCGTTGGTTAGTTTGTGTGGCATCACGAAGCTAATGGGTTGCAGCTGCTGAAAGCGTGTCTCGGATACACGAGCGTGCAGATGTCGAAGTACGACGCCGATCCGCGGTTCAGTGAGGGTATGCATGCACCTTCTGTTGTTTTGTTAGCACCTTCCCTGTTGTCTTCCTAGCACCTTCCCTTGTTGTTCTGTCAGTACCTTGCCTTATTATCTTGTTAGAACCCTCCCTTGTTGATGTGTTAGCACCTCTCGTTGTTCTGTTCGCACCTTCCCCTTCCTATCTTGTCTTTGACTAACCACGCCCGCGGAGCAGGCCTACACATCATGTACGACCAAATATCATCATACCTCCATTCATACGCCAAACCCCCTTTACAAAGTCCTTGCATGCAAAAGCCCCCGCCCTACTCCGCCCTGACCCCCAACCCGCATCCACATCCACGACCCGCAAAGCCCGTGACCTCGCTCCCGACCCCCTCGGCGTTCGAAGATATCACCCCGACCACCTGGCACCAGCTCGAAGATGACCTGCGGCGGTCGGACACACTAGCCCCGGGTAGCGGGCTGCGTGGGGGCGAGGAGCGGCCGGAGGTGTCCCTGGGGCCGCCGGAGCGACTACCAGGGCAGCTGTCGCCCGGGTTCATGGGGGGCGTGTCGTTGGTGGACGGGTTTGAGGACCAGTACTATCCGTTCGCGGGGTATAACGTGGACGAGCTGTGGAATTGGATGTTGTATGGGGACTCACCCGACACCGGGGGATAGACCTGATAATAAGAATACTTGGGGATATAGACGTTCCTGGGGGCTCCCCCAGAGCCCCGTCTTTTGTTTTAATTGTAGCTGACAACGATAACCCTATTCTCTGGTTCGATAAATGTTCCTGGGGGTTCCCCCCAGACCCCCGTCTTTTGTTTACAATTCTAGCTGCCAGCGACAATCGCCAACCTTCGGTTGACGATTACACTAACAGAAACTCCACATCTACTTCTCCCAATACTGATCTCAAACCCATGCCACAAGTCCAAACAGCACAACTCACTCAACCCACACAATCAATAAATCAATCCGAACTAACCCCTAACTGAGCACATCAAACACGCAAACACAACCCCCCATCCCCTTGAGATAAAAAATCAAGCCATAGCCTCCAAATACGGAATCCCCGTCAACTTGAACGCCCGCTCCCCCAACACAGGCTCCTGCACCGGCCTCTCCCGCGCAACCGGACACACCTCCCCATCGCGCATCGCCACGTTCGTCGGCGCAACATGCACCGCATTCGGCCAGTGCGTCGTCCCCAGCCGCTCTGCCAGCCCCAAATTAGCCTATCGTCTCTCTAACAAAAGCCACCCCCCCGCCGTTCCATACCAAAGATAACCGAAGGGAATACGTACGCTCAAAAGCCCCCCTCTTCCGCACCAAATCCTCCTTACTGGCCTCGCACACCGGCGTGTAGCACGTATACACCGCCAGCCGATCGATCTCCCCCGTCGGCGGCACGTTGTAATGCGGCGTGCGCGAGTCCCACACGATCAAGTCCCCCGGCTCGCAGCACACCTTCTCCCACTGCAGCCCCCGCTCCGCCAGCCACGCCATCCCGCCCTCCGTGAACCCAAACCACTCCGGCGTCCACGCGGGGATGCGCGGCTCGTTGCGCGCGGCCATGGCGGCGTGGAACTCGGCCGAGACGTTGTGCCCGCCTTTGCACACGATCAGGCCGCCGTCGTTCGGGCCGCTGGGGTGCAGGTTGATGAGGCCTTGGAGGCCTGCATTCCACGTATTAGTCCTGGGGAGGAAATGAAAGGAAGGAAAGGCGGGGGAAAACGTACAGCGGAACCCAGGCTTCGCGGGGTCTTGGTCCTGGTGCGGCCAGGGCTTGCTGTTATCTTCTATCAGCATTCGTGCTCTGTATTCTTACTTGAAAGGAAAGGAAAGGGGGGGGGGGGGGGGGGGAGGGTACTTCTCGGGCAAATCCTCGCGACTGCCACCACACACACACACACACATTAGCCAGCAATCCTATCATTTTCCTTTTCCCTTGGGCAACAAGAACACCCCCAAACCCAAACCCAAATTCAAAGATAAGGGATGGACACCTACTTCACAAACCCCACGTTCACCACATCAAACGATACAATCAGCTCCTCGTCATCGTACACCTTGGCAAACGCATCGATCACCCCCGCCTCCCCCCGGATGTCCCACACCCACTGCTCGTGCGTCACCCCGTACGCCTGGATCATCCCCTTCTCGTTCAGCACGGGCAGGTTGGCGCGTCGCACGGTGCTCGGGTCGTGGCGGTTGTAGCCCAGCCCGCTTTTTCGTTCATCAGTTCGGGTTATACAGGGGGGGGGGGGGGACAGGAGAGGGGATAGGACGCATACAATCCCTCCAGATAACTCAGAAACGCATCCGCGTATTGATCCGCCCGCTCCCGCGGAATCGCGCCCTTGATCACCGCGTAACCGTCGCGCGAGAGGGCGTCGCGGAAGTCGTTGTAGTTCGTGGGGAGGCCGTCGAAGGGCATGCGGTTGGTGCCGCGGACCTTAGGCGTGGGTTCGGAGGGTGGGAGGGTGGTGGTGGTGGTTGTGGTTGTGGTGGTGGACATTTTGGTGGGTTCTCTCTGGGACTCTGGTTCAGGAGTGAATTGATTTGTGTGGTGTTTGGCTGGGCTGAATGGGATCTGGGATTTGGGTGCGGGGGGCAGGTATATACCTTTCATCCTGGAGATGCGTGCTTGTGAGGCGTGACTGCACCGAGCTGCGCCGAGGTTAGGGCTCGGAGGGCCCCGAGCGCCCCATCTCTCACTCTCGGCCCCCTCCCCCGCGGGTGTGGGGGAGGTGTTCGGGCGAGGATGCGGGCGCCGAGGTCAGCGGACCTTTACTGTACAGTACCTACACTTGGGAAATTCCCCCCGTTCGAGCTCAAAGGTAATTTCGCATAAAGTGCTTTCACTTTCATTTCCATTCAGAACCCCCTCCCCCAGATATACTGACAGCGACCAAAAAAAATGGAGCCCTTCAAAATCCTCATCGTCGGCGGCGGCATCGCCGGCCTCGCAGCGGTACGTCCTCAGCCCTTACCCTTTCCCCTCCTGCCCACATCCCCCCTTACCACCTACACCCCAATACACAATGTAACCGCAAGCAGGCCATCGCCCTCCGCGCCCCTGGCCGCGACATCCTAATCCTGGAGCAATCCCCGCTGCACCGGGAAATCGGCGCCACGATCTCGCTGCAGCCGAACGCCTCGCGCATCGTCGAGACGCAGTGGGATCTGGCCGCCGCCCTGCGCGCGCGTGGCGCGATGACCGACTCCGCCTTCGAGGTCTACGACCTCGCCGGCCAGCTGCAGAACCGCGTGCCGCTGCGCACGCGCGACCGCTACGGCGCCGAGCGCATGATCTACCACCGCGCGGACCTGCACGAGGCCCTGAAGCAGCGCGCTACTGATCCCGGTTCCCCGGGGGATGTTGTGCGGATCCGCACGGGCTGTCGGGTGCGGGCGGTGGATTGCGAGCGCGGCGCGGTGCAGCTGGAGACGGGGGAGGTGGTGGCGGGGCATGTGGTGGTTGGCGCGGATGGGATCAAGAGTTTGGTGAGGAGGGCGGTTCTTCATCGCACTGGTGTTGAAGGGGAGGGCGAGGGACAGGGACAGGCGCGGCCGACGGGGCTTTGTGCGTACCGCATGATGATCCTGACGGAGACGTTGATGCGGGAGCCCGCCTTCGCGGGGGTCGTGGATCCTCGCGCCCCGAAAACGACGATGGTTGTTGGCGGCGACCGTCGGCTGATCATGGGCCCGGCGCGGAGCGGCTCGATCTACGGCGTCGTGGCGCTCGTGCCGGATGAGCGCATGAATGAGTCGTCCCAGGATACGAGTTGGACGACCGAGGGCGATCATGCCAAGATGATGCAGACCTTCCAGGATTTCCCGCCGTGGGCGCAGACGCCCCTCCGGCTGGCGGAGGAGGTCGGACTGTGGCAGCTCCGCGATCTGGATCCGTTGCGCACCTGGTGTCGGGGCCGGGTCATTCTGGTGGGCGATGCGGCGCATGCGATGCTGCCGACGCAGGGCCAGGGGGCTAGTCAGGCGGTTGAGGATGCGGAGGCGCTGGGCGCGTTTTTTGAGGGGTTCGAGGAGGCCGGGAAGCATTTGAGTGCGGACGAGGTGGGCGCGGTGCTGCGCAGGGTGTTTGAGTGTCGGTTTGAGCGCGCCTCGACCATCCAGGCGTATAGTCGCCAGGTCGCGAGGCCGGCGACGGATGCGGACTCCATCCGCGTGGCGATGAATCCGGCTGAGTTTATGGACTATAATTGCTCGTATCGCGGCGCGGCGGAGTGGTGTCGGAGGCAGGCGGAGAGGAAGGCGGTTGAGTGTCAGTGATGATGATGGTGATGGTGATGGACTAGGGTTATGGGATGTCTAAGCAGGGGGCGGGGGGGTTTAGTTCTGAATATATCTGGAATTCACTGTTCACTGGAGTCCATTGTGGACACGCACTAGAATTGTAGCATAGGTATTAACATATCAAGTGGGCTTAAGACCGCTAGTAGACGAATGAAACACTTTTCACCTGGGTCACTATCACTGGTCACTCATTAGACCCCTCAACCATGGTTTCGGCATCATTGCTAGCTGTGTCGTTCTCAGTGTCACCATCCTTGGCCGGAGTCGCTTCGGATCCCTGTGAGCTGGGATTTCGTGCAGCTGGCGCGGCGGCTGCTCCCCCATTCCCCCCACCAGCAGCCTTGCTCTCCGCCGCCCGCCGGGTTTTGGCGCCTTCTTTCAGCTTCTCCCACCGTTCTCGGTACCGCCCCAGTACGTCGCGCAACTTCTCATTCTCCCGCCCCATTTGACTCATCTCCTTCTCACTGCGTCGCATGGCCTCCTCCAGTTCCTTGATGCGTTGGTCCTGTTCAGCCGCGGGCAACGCCGAGTCTCCCACGGGCGACATAGCAGCCGACGAGCCTGGAGCGGGCTGGTCCGGCGACTGGGTGTTCGGGTGATGCATTGCCTTCAGGGACTGCTGCAACGCCATCGACGACGATTGCGCATTGACCTCCCACATGTGCAACCGCTTGGACAGCGTGTCCGACAGCTGTCTCAACGCTTGGTTTTCCATCTGCAGCTCCTCCATGGTCTTGGGATTCTGGAGACTATTGAACTTGTCGTTCCCGCGTCCGGCTTGGCTGCTGCCCTGGATTCCAGACAGGCTCTGGCGGAGTTCGGGCGAGGACGGGGTCTCTCGCGCATCCACGAAGTCCTCATCCCCTTCATCCATGCTGTTTCTGCGGGCTTCCTTCTCCGCTCGAGTGAGAATCCCCGCGTACGACACGGTCCCACCGGTGGTAGGCACCACGTAGAATGACTCCGCGGGATTGCCCGTCGTCCCGCCCCCAGTCGTGTCGCGGATCGCCTGCAGGGCAGCCTTGGAGAAGATCTTGTTGATATCTGGGTCCGCATAGTGGTGAGGCCGGTCGAACATGGCATTGTACCGGTCAGTCCGGGTATCCGGGGCGGCCTTGCGGTGGGCGGATGATTCCGATGCCTCCGACCCAAGCGGCAGTCCGGCAAACGCAAGGGGGGCCGAGATTTTGGAGATCAAACCCTCGAAGGTCGAATAAAATTTCTGGAATGGCTCTTCGGTCACAGAGGACCGGCTCTTCTGCGGGGCGGACTCGGAAGGATTCGGCGGCGCAAACTGCTGCGAGGTGATATCGGTGGGACTGGCCAGGGGTGGCGTTTTCGATGTCGATGCACGACTGCCCCGTTCCTTCATTCCATGGGCCTGCATCCCGCGCAGTCTCGACTCGCTCGTCCTGATCTTGGCCGGGCCATCGGTCATTTTCGCTCCCGCTTGCTGGGACGTGAGGGTAGGGGAGGCCGGAGACGAGCGACGGGGCTGTGACGGGATGCCACGAGCCGACGCTAGGTTGCTGACGATCGAAGACGACTCCCTTGACGGTAGCCGTGGGTGTCCTGACAGTCGAGGAGGTTGCTGCTGTGCATCTGCTCCCACCGCCAGATTCCTGGTCGTGCCAGCTTCCGCGGACACAGCCTGCGGATTCCCTCCGGTCGAGGCAGGGCTGGAAGGGTTCTCATGCTGAAACCGGAGGATCTGCGCGAGTTTCTTGTGATGTTGTTCCAGCAGATGAAGGGTTCGAAGAGCCTATGTGGATGGAGATCAGAGTGAGTTCCACCCCCTACGTAGGGACGACTCTACGCAAACGCACCTCACGGTCCGAGCTGTGCTGGGCTGCAGTTGCAAATTCGCCTGCGGCAAGATCGTGTTCCTCGCTTGCTGCCACGGGATTCGACTTGCGAGTTTCGAGGACTGCGTTGCGAGCGTGGGTATGAGCCTAGATCCGAGCGAAAGGTCGGTCAGGCTAGGCTCTTTCCGAGGCTGAGTTGGCATGGAGGAGTAAACCAGGGGGGGGGGTCTCACCAGAGTAAGAGGAGCGGACTCCATGGTTGTAGATTGAGTAGGGGACTTTGTACCTCCTGATGTTACAATCGGATATCATTGGCCAGGAATTAGAATACCGTGATGATTCAAAGCACCGAGAAAACCTAGAGAAGGTTTATTGAGGTACTGATAAGAGCAAGATGAGGAGATATCCTGGATGGTTGGAGTGACGCCATGATTGACGAGGGGAAAATGGGAAGATTCACCGCAACGACTAAATGTGACGGTAACATTACCCGTTTCGGGAGGTGAGCTTGACTGTCGCTCTCTGTTTGCCTCCCAATCCGGTAGAGCAGAAGAGACAGGTACCGTATGGATATGACAGAGCGGTGTATTGTATAGTACGGCGTACTGCGTACGTTATTCACTGCGATTCAAAATTCCCGACAGGAGATTTTATAGATTAAGTCAGGATTGAATTCCTCCGTAGATAGGAGAGTCTAGAAGTCTTGTCAGAAAGACCTCCGATCGTCTCAGGCTAACAATAGACTCCAAGAGTCCCAAATTATTTCCGGCTACACCGAATGTGTCAAATCGTTGGTTTGTCGATCGGGGGGGGGGGGGGCTCCACTACAGCTTAAGATAGATAGATGGATGGATCGTATTCGTACTGTTTGGTTTGTGGAGAGGCGGCTAGAAGCATTCATTCATTGATTCAATGTGTTGGCCTCACCCTTAAGGCTGAACCTCTACGCTCACTCTTCCTCCTGTTGCTGCTACTCGTCGTCATTGCCGCCTCCATCTCTTCCGCACTTCTTCCCCCCCCTCTCTCTTCCCCCCAAATCCACATTTTCCCCTGATCCGGTTCTCAATTCCACCTCCCCCTCCCTTCGCGTCGCTTCCTTCTCTTGGGTTACATCTCTTCAAAGCTCTTGAAGAACCCCATTTCCTGACCCCAAGAAGGACAATTCATTGTTGCGGTTTTGCGAACCTCTCCAGCAACTTTGTCTTTCCGTTTCCCCTCATCTTCTCCTTCAGTGATCTTCGCCTGCGATCCTACTATAGCGACAATTGGTTAGAGAGATAGACCGGTTCTACACTCGATCATGCTTCATTCAATGTTCATAGTTTGATCCAGTCCTTCAAGTTCCCTTCTTTCCCTCTGTATATCAATATCAACAAGCCACCTTCCCCCTTTC